CGGCCGCCCCACGCCCCCGGCGCCTCCGGGGTCCGCGCGCCGAGGACGCCGGTTCAGAAGTGGGACGACTCTCCGAAGTGCGGAGGAGGGTCCGTCGGCGCGTCTCTAAGCCAACCGCGCCGCCCTAGCTTCCCCTTTGGGAGTTTGTTTTCCGAGTAAAGAAAGGAGCTGGGCAAAAAGGCTCCGTTTGCCCCAGCGGAGAAGGTGCAAGGAGAATATGAGGATAACGAAATGTCCACTTCCTGGAGGGTAAAAAAAATAAAGAGCCACCCCGGTTGGAGATGTCCGTTTTAGAGCTTCTTATTTCCTTCCCTTTCGCTTCGGTTTTCCCTCTCCAGGCGCATTTAATCTGCTGGAGGAGGAGGAGGAGGAGGAGAAGGTGGGGGCGGAGGAGGAGGGGAAGAGAAAGAGAAGAAGTTTGCCAAGAATAAAGTTTGTGCCGGCGAGCGCTGGGAGTCGGCAGTGGAGGGCACGGCGGGGTCTCGAGAAGTCACAGCAGGGTCCTCGGGCCCAAATGTTTCTGCCGGGAGCTGGAGCCGACACACACACACACACACACACACAGCCCGACCCCTTTGTTCCCGGCTCGAGTTTCTCAGCCTGGCTCACTCGCTCGCCGCTCTCCACGCCTCCGCCGGGCCGCTCTGTCAAAGCAAAGAGCTGCACCCCTCGGGTTCGCCCGGCCCAGGCGACGCCCGGAGCTTGGCCGCGTGCGGGGCTGCGAGCGCGTCCCGGCTCCTTGGCCCGAGCGCGCGCAGCCCGGATCCCTCCTCCGCGCCCTGCCCCGCAGGTGAGCTGCGGCGCCTCCCCACCGCTTCTCCTCCTCCCGCGCCTCGCCGGCGCTGAAAAGCTACCCACTTGCGTCGCTTCTCCTCCCCTCCCCTCCCCCGCCTCCAGCTCTCCTTGGCTGCCCGCTGGGGTGGGGGGGTGGAGGGGGATGGCGAGAAGGAGGTGGTGATCGAGGTCTTTTTTTTCCCAGAGCCTGTAGGACGAGTCCTAGTTTTGGGGTGTGTGTGTGTCTGTGCGCGCGCGCGCGCGCGCGCGCGCCTGGACGAAAGGATCAGGCAACTTGGCGAGGCAAGGAAGGACCGGGCGCTTCTTGTAACCCACCGAGAGGCACGCTTTGCTCGCGTGAAATTGACAAGAAACTCTGCCCGAATGGTTTAACTTCATCATCTAAGTATCTCTTCTCCCCCCCACCCCGCCAGTCTCTCCCCCACCTCCTTTCCGCCTCCCTCTTTCCCTCCCTCGCTCTGGCAGGGGAAGAAGATGAAAGAGAAGCCGCCGCAGCTGTGATCGACACCACATTGATAGATGCTCTGACAGAGGGGATGAGGCGGGAATCCCGGACAGGGAAAAGGGGAAAATATAACAGACATTGCTCAACTAATAAGAAAGAACGGAAGCAGGAAGGACAGGAAAGACAGTTGTGGCTTTCCTAAATATAATGTCAAAGAAGAAGGGAACACACGCTAGCAAAAATAAAATCTGCAGGCTTACCGAGAAAAATAGGACGAGGAAGAAAAAACTGAAGACTGGATCTTAATTATAGCTTTTTAAGCAAGATCTCTTTCATTCCATCCTCACCGTGGGATGTACAGAGAGAGTTAGGTCTCCCGTGGATTTTCGGAGATACACGGCACAATGTGTGGACACCTCGTAGAGAATGAAGAAACAACCCAAGGAGGGAGAAGACAAGGCAAAAGGACCCAGGAGAGCGGAGCCAGTAGAGGGAGGGAGGACAGGGCAGTCTCTGGCGCCTCGGACTGCGCGCTCAAAGGGACCCTTGAAGATGCAAATCCGAATCCAACCTCAAAAATTCCCCAGCCTCCACCGTCTCTTTGATGCATTTTGTACAAGGACAGGCTTTTAAGGAGATGCTTTGTGAAAGTTACAGTATGAGCGGAGCTGGAGTTTGAAAACACATTACATTTTGTTCCTTGGCTCTGAACCCCCCTCAGTTAAAAATCCAGGCAAAATTATTATGCCCAATACAGTAGCCATCTGTAAAACCTCAGAACAGTAAACAAGGGGCAGGAAGAAATGTGTCTCCATCTCTCTTAAATTGAAAATAAGGAAAAACACCACAGAATCAGACTGGAGCTCTATTACATAGGAATAGTCATGTAAAGATCCCTCTTTTTCTAAGGGGGAAATTGCATGCTGCTGGACACTGTATAAGTAAAGACCTTAACAATGCTCTAAATGAGCACTTAAAACCTCACCTACTGATAACTACTTCCTACAGATGGGAATTTACTAGGAAGCAATTTTTAAAACTATATCATTTAAAGGGTTCAGATGGTCACATGGAGCATGGCCAGTAGTCACAGGGAAATTGTATTGGAGGATTGGGGTAAAATAAGGGGCTGGTGATGGGAGCCAGGAAAAGTAAAACATTAAATCCACTTTAGCTGACAATGCTATGCCTTACAGAAGGAAAACATAAAAGAATATTCTGCTACAACGTTTCTGCAAGTCAATGCTAAAAAGGTTGGAAAGAAACTCAATTTTATTTTTTGGTTAGTGGCCGTATGCAACTTCCCTTGAAGCTATGCACCAGTGTGAGCATAATGTCCAAGAGGTGTGAATATGTAGCTATGTCAGACATTTATACCCTCTGTTCTAAAAGAAATATGGGAAAACAAAGTCAAAAGTCCTCCCACAAATGCGCCAATCTGACGGATAGGAAAAGAACTGGAAAATGCAGTTTCACCAAAGCAGCCCGAGTACACGTTCCTTTTCATCAAACCGTCGAGGAGGGGGAGGGGGGCACACAGAATGGCCAGAGGGTATTTTCTGGAAGCCAAAGAGAGATTAAATGACGTCTCCTACATCCCCCCTGTTTAAGTGTTGCAACTAATTCGAATCCCATTTTCTCCTTCCTGTTAATTATCTGGACTCCCTGAGTCATTTGGAGCTCAGCTCCAGGTGTCCTGGAGATTAGGAGCTCGAGAAGATGGGAATTTTTGGAACCATAACTAGTGGGAACTGTTCACTACAAGGGCCGAGGGTAGGTGGCTGCGTTTGGTATTTTGCGGCAACCTTCTCCGTTGGAAACATGGTTTCTAACGAAATCACCCAGCACCTGGCCCTGTGTGCGTGGCTGTTTTCCCTCCCCCGTGGCGTGCGGGGTGTCGGCTGCTTGTCCTTAGCCTTGTTGCAAATCTTCTGACGGGCTGCACTTAAAAGGGGCTTTACTAGAAAACATTCACCCAAGTCTTTTAGAGCTTTGTCTGGGAGGGAGGTTGACATTTCCACGTGAAGTCGTCTCTCCTGGGGGAAAAAACAGGACACACAGGAGGAAGACGTTCCTCCCTCCCCACGGGTTCGGGTAGTTCCAGGCGAAGGCATCTCTGCTGCCGGGAGGTCTCTTCTGATTCGCGTGGGGGCTGCTCTGCACATCTGCGGCCACCTCTCCGGGCGCACCGTCCGGGATGTGGTGGGTGCGGCGCGGGAGAAGCGCGGCCGCCGCCGCCCCCTTCCCTCGGCTGGAGGGCCAGGTTGTTCGTGTGAACTCGAGCGGACGACTGGAGGTTTGCTGGTGCAGGTTCACTCCTTCAGGATGTGGGTTTCAGGGGGCGTTTTGATGTGATTTAATTCCGACCGTGAAACAATTGCTAGGGGCTGGCTGGATTGCTGTTGGTTTTTCCCCTCTTGGTGGCTTTGGTTGGTTGGGGTTGAGTTTGGGAGCGAACAGTGACTTGTTTTATATCAACACTTCCTTCTGCGCCGGAACAGAGGAGGGGGGAGCGGAGACGGGCCTCGCACCCCCAGGGTAAGCCGGGCCCAGCCCCCGCGGGCGCGGGCAGGGGACCCGGGACAGTGACCCCCACCTACACCGGAGACCCCTCCCCCGGCGATCTGGCTGCCAAGTCGAGTCAGCTACAGACACTCCAGTGAGTCCTTAATTACAGGGAGCAGAGACAAGCGCGGTGCCCTGGAGAGCCCTCCCCGCCCCCTCGGCCCTAACCCCCGCCCGGCTCCGGGTCTTCGCCTTTGTGTGGCCTGGACTCCCTCCCAGCGACAACTTTGGTGGGATCCCAGAGGAAGGCGGTGGCGGGCCTACGGAAGAGGATGCTCGCGAGGAGAGAAGCGAGCGTGCAGGACTAGAAAACGAATAATGCGATTCCAGCGCCGGAGCGCCGGCACCCCCTCTCCCACTCCCACCGCGGCCTCTCCAGGCGACGAAAGCTGCGGGCGCCTTCGGTTTAACGGACCTCGCGGACAGGGAGAGGGGGCGAGGGAAACGGCAGTTTGTGTCCCAGGGGCTCTTCCGCCCCTTCTTGCCTCCTCCTAAGACAAACAAACTCAACCCCCACCCGCCGGGTAACAGAACTCGTGGGACCGTGAAAATGCCTTTCCCAAATCCGGCCGCCTGCGGACGCCGGGCTTCCGCGGGCCCGCCCTCCGCGCCCGCCCGCCCCCC